CCTTTTCATTATGGGGAAATGATTGGGGGTTGTGCAGTTTGGAGGAAGCCCTTAATTTTTGAAAACTGCTGTTTGAAGAATTATTATTCCAGCTTCTGCAATTTTTGAAAATGAAAGACCCCTTTATCTTGTGACCCTCAATGGCTTCTACACAATGAAAGGGATCCCACGGGGGCTTCTGGAGGAGAATTGGGATTTTTTTATTTCCAATTTTTTTTTTACGGCTGATGATGTCATTGGTCTCACATAGCATAGCTCTCTAACCAGCAAGTCCCTAAAGCATCATAATTTCCTATTTTGTCCACACTACTAAAACAGCCCACAACATTTTAGTTGCCCCAGGCAGAGTAGCATAACTATTTGACCCCTGAAGCAGAAAATCCCACTAACATTTTCCAAATAGTAAAAATGGAATGATGACAAAGCATGTAATGACTAAAATCTTATTTGAGTAAGTTCTGTGGGAGGAAATTTCAACCTGAGGTCCCTACTGTAAGGAATGTTTTAATTGCTATTTCTATAAAATCCTTAATTCTCTCAAATATAGGAACAGGTGATATCTCTCAGTAATATTACTATTTTAGAGCCCCCTTGTTTAGTTTAATCCAGAATGAAGCTTGGGCTCCTTTCAAACATTTGCCAAAACTGGTACGGAAGATGACCTTTTGACAGATTATAATCAATAAGAAACCAGAAATTTGTCTTCTAAACATGGATAACAGGAAGCCTCCTACACAAGACATTGTTCCTAAGTCTGTTAGATCAGGAGTCTCCAACCACTGGTCTGCAGCCTGGTGCTGGTCTGTGGCCTTGGCAGGACCTGGCCATGGAGACAGATCTCCCCCCATGTACTTCCCCCATGCACACCCACCCGCATGCATGATCCACGCACCCATGCATACGCAATTTATTTAATCTATACTTTGTCTCAAGTGCCCATAAGCAAAAGAGGAAATCATAAATATGCAAAATAGCTAACAACAAAATCTGAGAAAGAGAAACTGCCATTCGCTTAATCTACAGGGCCTTCTAAACTACTTTTAGCTCCACTCACTGGGAGGGTACAAACAGGTCCAAAAGACCAGGGGAAAGAATAAGTGCACAGAAGCAGAGCTTGAAGTAAGCACTGTATATATGACTCTCATGAACTGGACCAGTCCATAAAAGATTGTGCAATTATAAATATTCATTTTAAGGTGCTACAAAATTATCGTCATCACTATCATTATTGGCAGATCATATTCACTGCTTGCTTGATGATTCTTTTAGGACAAAGACCTGTCTATTCTTGAATAATCAATTCTTAAATGTGCATTTTGGTCTGGTTCCCTTTTAATGTTTCAGGATCTATATGTGCAGTAATCCCCTTCATGGATTGCTGCCTTGTCGTGGCGAAGGGGCTTGAGCAACTCAGAGAAGCTATGGGCTATGCCGTGCAGGGCCACCCAAGCCGGACAGGACATAGTGGAGAGTTCTGACTAAACGCAATCCACCTGGAGTAGGAACCGGCAATTCCACTCCAGTATCTTTGCCAAGAACGCCCCATGATCAGAAACAAAAGGCTAAAAGATATGACGCTGGAAGATGGGCCCCTCAGGTTGGAAGGCGTCCAACATGCTACTGAGGAAGAGCGGACGACAAGTACAAGTAGCCCCAGAGCTAATGAAGTGGTTGGGCCAAAGCCGAAAGGACGCTCAGCTGTGGACGTGCCTGGAAGTGAAAGGAAATTCCGATGCTGCAAAGAAAAATATTGCATAGGAACCTGGAATGTAAGATCTATGAACCTTGGGAAGCTGCAGGTGGTCAAACAGGACATGGCAAGTACACAAACCCTGTATCAACAAATCAACACAGTCCCTGATTTTAAGAAAAAAACTGTGGAATCTTAAAATTAAACTTCAGACTTGAGTCTGAACTGCATTTTAAAGCCTGCCTGCCTGTCTGCCATTTTAAAGCCTGCCTGCCTACCTACCATCTTAAAGCCTGGCTGCCTGCATCTACAACCACCACAGGCCCTCACAGAAAATTTTCTGATTTAAAGAAAAAAAAAAGACTTTGGATTCTTAAACTGCATTTTACTGTACAGTACAGGTACTGTACTGTACAGCGTGCCTGCTTCAAAAATCAGCAAGCATTAAACCCCATTTTACACCATGCCAGCAACAACAGGCACTCGCAGAAAATTTTCTGTACATTTGAAACACATTTTAAAACAAAAGAGAGGTCTCATACACAAATGTTAAAAGCCACAGAATGCAAAAATAAATAAATACAGTAAATTTTACAGTGACAGCACCCACAACAATCCTGACAAGAAAGCCAAAGTCTTTGACTCTCTCACCACCCAGATCCGCCCACATTACATCCTGCAGTTGCTGAACTCCACCTGCCTTGCAGTCTATCTTCCAGTCTCGGCCGCGATGACCACCGACTCTTGGGTGCTCTCTGTCGTTGCCATCGGCTGTGCAATCGAGTTTCTTTTCCTACCACCTTCAGGACCAATCAAAATAACAACTCTTATCACCTGTATTAGAAGAAGTTTGATCCCTTCTACAAAAATATGTCATTCCTCCTATCATTCCACATGACAACAACCTGGGATTTTACTCCTATTACTTTACAGCTCCCAAGAGAGATTATAGTCTTTGGCCCATCCTCAATCTACACAACCTCAGCTCCTACATTGCCCCAAGATGTTTCCGCATGGTCACATTAGAACACATCCTCCTTCAGAATGGTGACTGGTTTGTAGACCTAAGCGAGGCCTATTTCCATTTAACAATTTGGCTAGAAGTACAAGCTTCTGAAGGGGCTGAGGAACTAGAGACCAAATTGCTAACATTCGCTGGATTATGGAGAAGGCCAGAGAGTTCCAGAAAAACATCTACTTCTACTTCATTGACAATGCAAAAGCCTTTGTGTGGACGACAACAAACTATAGCAAGTTCTTAAAGAAATAGGAGTGCCTGATCACCTTATTTATCTCCTGAGAAATCTATATGTGGGACAGGAAGCAAGAGTTAGAACTCGATATGGAACAATTGATTGGTTCAAAATTGGGTAAGGAGTACGACAAGGCTGTAGATGGTCCCCCGGCTTATTTAACATATGCAGAATACATCATGCGGAAGGCTGGACTGGAGGAATCCCAAGATGGAATTAAGATTGCCGAAAGAAATATCAACAACCTCCGATATGCAGATGATACCACTCTGATGGCAGAAAGTGAGGAGGAATTAAAGAACCTTGTAATGAGGGTGAAAGAGGAGAGTGCAAAAAATGGTCTGAAGCTCAACATCAAAAAAACTAAGATCACGGCCACTGGTCTCATCACCTCCTGGCAAATAGAAGGGGAAGATATGGTGGCAGTGACAGATTTTACTTTCTTGGGCTCCATGATCACTGCAGATGGGGACAGCAGCCATCTGTGAAGGAGGAGATTGTTGTACATTAAAAATGTGGCATTAGCAATGCTTTAGATGGAAGTGAATACAGTATCTTATATGAAGACAGCAAAGAAAGTAATGTCAGTGATTGTGAGCAAATGAGCTTCCTAAATTCTGACTCTAGTGATGGTGAGCTCTTGGGGTTTCCAGAAAACTAGAGTACACAAACCTTTAAGTCTCTCCATTTATTAATGACAGTTGTAATGGTTCTTAATGCCACTGTTGACTGCTGTTCACTTTACATGGTTCAAATGTTATTCTGTTATAGTTTATTAAATATTTTATTACACTATTTGGTTCAGAATATTTTTTCCTGTTTTCCTCCTCTAAAAATTAGGTGCGTCTTAAGGTCAGGTGCGTCTTATGGAGCAAAAAACATGGTAACTATCTTCTGGAACTCTCAAACATATTTCCCTCAGATGAAGCTTAATTCCCAATATGGGACAGAAGAAACTGTAGCTGTTCCCATCCGTATTCTTCTCTTTTGAAAACATAGTTTTAAAGAACCAAGCTATAGAAATAGCCTTATCTACATCTGGTTTTCTACATTGCCACTTCAGATTATAAATGAAACATTTTAGCTTTGGGTTTTTTTCTTCCATTTACTCCAAAGAAGGATTATCAAAGGAGTTTACATACCATAAAGTTATCAAGCAACTGCAGCATTTGCCCCTCGTGCCCCCTTGCTTGACCGTTAAGACTCAGAGCATACGAAGGCAAACAATCCCCTTTTTTACACTGCTGCCACCAGGTGATCACTAAATCACCATTACTTCTGGAAGATAAAGATTCAGGTCCGCACTCGAAGTCTTTTAAATAGGACTTTTGTTTATTGATTACAGAAATTGATATTGATTCATGAATATCTTCTTTAAATAAATTTATTATGAACAACAACCTTCCATTTGATAATATACTCCTAACTCTAATCACCCCTTAGAATCCCCCAAATGCTCTACTTCTCTCTCACACACTCCACTCCAACTCTCTGACTCCCCCTGACTCTCAGGCTCCACCTCTTATAAGATCTCTCTTAGCTCCGCCTCTCAGCAACATGAATATGCATGAACAATTAACATACTAAAATATGAACCATTGACAAACTAAGGGGGAACGCTACATCAACTTTTAAAAATGGTCAAAACAGTTACAACAGAATTTTAAAAGCAGAAGCCTATGGAAACCAGATAAGAGCAGTATTCTATGAATGGAGTATAGCAATTTTCACTAATCTTCCTTAAAGTTTCATTATTTTCTTGTGGTTGAATTAAGAAGTAAACTTTCATGCCGTCAGTGAAAATGTTAATCTAGATTTGTTATTACATATTTCCCTGACATTTAACCATTCTTTACAGGGTTATAGAGAGATAGGTGGATTACATTAGTAATCAATATCCTTGTGCCATCTTTTATAATGTAAGATCTCAATTCATGTGTATTTTGTGTAGCTGCAGTTGATTGCCAAAGATTCCTATCCTGTATTGTAAAAATTTGTATGATCTTGATTATTCCATTGGCTTATGGAATTTTGAATTTTCTATTATTTTTTTAAAGGAATTATGACTCTACTGTGGATGAATTAGTAAAACCATTGCTGCAAATGTACAGTGGAAGCGAACAGTGGGGTAATATGGACCTAACGAATGGGCAGCTCAGTGGTGGTAATATTGCAACTGCTGCTTCAGAGGTAAGGAAGCCATAAAGAGATTCTTCAGTCAAGTTTAAAAATGAAGGAACTTATAAAATCATGGAATTTAGGAAAAAATATTGCCTTCTTAAAACGAATGTGTGGTACATTATTGTTCTTTTAGAGTATATTGAGTAAGATTGATTCTGTAAACTTGTTGAATTACATATTTTTCCTCTGTTACATTTTGACTGGAAGTGGCTTTTGTTTTGCTTTTATCCTATCGTTGCTATTTGTTAGTTAAATAGCTATCTAGTTGGTCACTGTAGTGAATGGAATTCTCTTAAACAGCCAGGCAGGAAAGCTTTAAAACCTATTTCAGCTTTGAGGGTTTTGGTGGAACGTTGTTTGTTTGAGGCCCCTCAGAGGTCCATCAAAAGTATAGAATCAGAGACTTTTAGAGCTAAGAATGAACAAAAGGGTCACAGAGTCCAACCCATTTTAAAAGTAGAAAATCCACAGCTAAAGCACTCTGACAGATGACATGAAACCTCTGTTTAAAACTTCTACTCTCTTGCTGTTGAACAACTATTCTTATTTGTGGAGTCCATCTATGCAAACAAAGGAGTTTGCACCTATGATAACACTGCTTTGGAAAGTTCCAGAGCCTCAAACACAAAGGTGCCTCTCTGCCTATACTGTTCAAGCAAGGCCCTGCTTTCCTCAGTCTTCTTTTGTCCACCGCCACAATAGCACATGAAAGACTGCTCCGGAGCCTCTACTTCATTTACCATCCTTCTTTCTATAAGTTCTCTGCCTCCCCCCTTTTTTCCCTTCTTCTTTCCTTTCATCTTTTATTCTACAAAGAAAGTTAGTTAGTTAGTTAGTTAGTTAGTTAGTTAGTTAGTTAGTTAGTTAGTTAGTTAGTTAGTTAGTTAGCTAGTTAGTTAGCTAGTTAGCTAGTTAGCTAGTTAGCTAGTTAGAGGGAGGCTTAGTTTTCTGTTCCATTCCCCCCCCCCACAGCTTTACTGTCCCCCTTTTTCCAGCAATTTATGGCCTCTGGTTTAATGAAAAAGTGTGCCATTTGTGGCAAATAGATTCTCCAATCTGATGGGCACAATATTTGCTTATTTTGCTTGGAAGATACCAGTTTAGGTCAATCCTGTAAAATATGTAAGTTTTACCATCCTTATACTCAAAAACACCAGTTTCAGCTTTGATCCTTTCTTTGCGAACAATTCCTTTGAGCCACAGATCCCCGTTCCAGGATGATTCTGAGTCCTCAAATGCATCAACCAGCTTTACCAGGGAAAGCCCCGGACTTGGAATCCATCCTTTTGTCTTCCTCTAAACCAACATCAAACTGAACAAAGAAAGTGGAGCACAAAAGCTCCAGCAGCCTCAATATCAAGGTGACAAAAAAGAAGAAACTGCAATCCGCGGATGCTATTCTGGCCACCTCAGTTATTGATCCCATAGCTTACCTCTGCTCTTATTATCAACATTCAATATACAGTTTCAGTCTCAAAGGATGAATGCCTGAGCCGCTTTGTGCAAAGTCTTGCCGCCTCACTGAGAGCACCCTCTCCTCACATCTCATTGCAGGAGCAATCCTTGCCTCCATTATCTGGACATGGGTGAAGGTCAAGATCAACATCCCTCTCCCTTACCCAGTGGTCTCCAAAACTGAGACACCATGACAGGGAGGATAGGAGGTCGAGATTGCGGTTAGCTTCATATTAATATTGGCCATGCTACTCAAGATCCCCTTCTAGGAGCTCTTTATATCATAAGGATGCATACTGTGCTCCTTTCTTATGTCCTCGCTACATGTGTGAGGATATGGGATGGATTAAATTTGTAGGACTCACCATTAATCTCGAAACCCCAGCAGCTCTTGAGTGCTCCCTTGAGAAAACTATGTCACCAGCCCTTGAGACCAATCTCCCTGGGACAGTGAGCACAGTCATGACTCCCATGGGCTGGATATAACAACTGCCAGGTGGATACACAGTTGGCTACAGAATCATACTCAGAGGGTGATGATTAATGACTCCTACTTCCAGCTGGGAGGAGGTAACAAGTGAGGAACCCCAGGACTCAGTCCTGGGCCCAATGTTATTCAGTATTCTTTTATTAATGACCCGGATCAGGGGATACAGAGATCTGCAGATGACACAAAATTGGAAGACAGAAACAAAATTCGAAATTATCTTGATATGATTGAGCACTGGACTGAAACCAAGAGAATAAAATTTAACAGGAGTAAGGGCAAAATCCTGCACCTAGGGGAAAAAAGAAACCAAACACACTGTTACAAGATGGGGGATACCTAGCTCAGCAATACTACGAGCAAGAAGGATCTTGAAGTCATTGTAGCTCACAAGCTGAATATGAGCCAATAGTGTCATGTGGCTACAAAACGGTGAATGCTGTTTTAGGCTGCATTAACAGAAGAAGGTTTGGAAATCAAGCCCTGTGAGGAAAGATTGAAAGAACTGAGCATGTTTAGCATTGAGAAAAGAAGATAGGGGAGATATTATAGCACTTTTCAAATACTTGAAAGGCTATCATACAGAGGAAGGGGAGGATCTGTTCTCAATTATCACAGAGTGCAGGACACGCAACAGTGGGCTCCATTTTTTAATTATTGTTGTAATAGCTTGGGTTAGCTTATGGGATACAGAAGGTAAGAGGGGGTGTAAGGGAAAAAAAGGTGGGGGAGGAAAAACAAAAATATACTAACATCCAGTCTATTCATATTGCAATATCAAATTCAAACTCCACCTTTCTACTATTTTCTGCCTTCCAGATTTTGGTTCACATTTTGATCTATGTTATTCATGCACTATCTGGTGACTCTAACCATTTTTAAAATAAGTCCAACCTTTCAATTGCCTTCATCACTTCTGATAGAATGTCCATTTCTGCCACTTCCCTTATCTTCTCAGTAAGTCCTCTTGTTTCACTATCACCGGGTTTTTCCAATTTTTGGCATAAAGAATTCTGGTTGCAGTGACTATATATATAACTAAACACTTCTTTGCCTTATCTATATTATCTGGTATCATACTCAATAGAAACAGTTATGGAGTTGATGGAACCTTACAAAGCAGTATTTGTTGTAACACAGTATGCACTCCTATCCAATATTGTTTTGCTACTCTACAAGTACACCACATATGATAATAGCTTCCCATGTGTGCTTCACATTTTCAACAGACATTTGATACATCTGTATAAATCTTCAAGAATTTTTCCAGAGTCATATGCCACCTATAAAACATCTTGCATATGTTCTCCTTAAAATTAACCGATTTTGTAAGCTTTATATTATTTTGCCATATTTACGACCAATATCGATATTATACACAGGATCTATAATACAGAACCCAATCTGGAAGGCCAAAAACCGCTCTGTTTGGCATCTTTCATTGCTTTAATTTTAATTCTTGATTATTTACCTTGCCACACAAATCTCATAATTATCTTATTAACTTCTTGAAAAAAGGACTGTTTTAATATTGTGGGAATTGTCTGAAATAAAAATAAAATTTTTGGCAGAACATTCTTTTCTATTAACTTCTGTCGTTCTTGTTCTCATATTTTTAACAAGTATTTTTGTTTTCTTTTGGTTTATTTTCATTCCTGCCATGTCACCAAAATTTTTCAGCATCTCCATTAAATCTTGAATTGAATCCATTGGATCTTCCAGTATAATGACTAGATCATGTGCAAAGGCTTGGAGCTTATAAGTATGACCTCCTTTTACTTCCTTTTTATCTCTAATTTGTTTGGTTGATATTTCTAGAGTCAAAATAAATAAAAATGGTGAGAGCGGACACCCCTGTCTCTAGTACCTTTCTGTATTTGAACAATGGACTCCAGTTATAGGAAGCCAGATTTTGGTTGGATATCACAAAAACCTTCCTAACAGAGCAGTGCGGCAATGGAACTGATTGAGAGGTGGAGAGTGCTCCAACACTGAAGGCATTCAAAAGAAATTTAGAGGACGGAGGGTTGCCACTTTCTGGAAATCCAGGGAAATAGAAATTGGTCAGAGAAAGTCAGGGAAATTGGTCTGAAGTCAGGGAAATTGTGATTAAAGTGTATTCAAATAGTGGATTTTTAACCTGTTGCAGCAAGAGCATGATCTGTTCTTATGGCAACTGGAATAGAAAAGTAGCAGAATACAAGTAAAATTTAATGATGCCCTTTCCCAGCTCCACATTTTTCTCAGCTCTACCGTCAGCCACCAGCCTAATGTGTTTGTTGAGCTCTGTCCATGCATGATTTCCAAGGTCTGCCTGTAGCATTTGAAAAGCAAGGCTAGTTTAAACATTTAGCAAGATACAAACTTTAAACATCTGTTTTCATCCAAACCTGCTAGTACTGCATTTAACTTACATATGAAGATAAGCATGTTTTTGGGTCATGCTTGTGTGTGGAATGGATGTTTTGTCTCCTGCTAAACCCAGCACAGAGTTGCAAATGAGTTTTGCTGCTGTTGGATTTCACTCAACTAGTACTTTCTACTCTGCACCATGCAAAGTAATTTTTTTGAATGTGATTGTTTGTTCCTGCTGGAGTTTACAGAGTATCAGCTCCTGCACCCTCTTCCCTGCCGTCTATGCATAAAGGTTGCAAATGAGGGTTGTCTGCTTATCTAGATTGCAGAAATGATCTGCAAGCATTTAAACCCCTTTTCTTGCTGCTGATCTGCTGAAAGTGAAACTTTCCGAGCTTTGTAAAGTTCCTATTTGCCAGAAAACACATCTGCTAACGACAAATGCAAAAGTTGTTGTAAAGTGTGCTACAAAACTTTTGAACTACATAATATGGGAATTAGAGCTGTGGAGTCTCATTCACAAGGACCATTACATCTAAAGAACCTGAAAACTAAATCCAGTCAACAGTCCATCGCAATATGTTTAGGTTCAAAGTCAAGTACAAGTTGCAATAGTAAAACCAGAGAGGGAGAAGAGACAGCCCCTGTGAAAACTGGAAAACATGATTGAAAATGGCAAATAATTACCCACCACACAAACTAGTATGGCTGC